TTCAAAATTCTAGAGAAAGATATGCTAATTGACTTAATAATTATTATATACGCCACTATGTTGCAAACGGCAAGTTTATTAGTGAATTGTAATTGTAAAAATTATTACTGTTGTATCCATAATCCATCTCTAATTATTACGTCTGTAATGATGCATTCGAAATATGTTGGCATGAATTATTGCTTACTATGTTTAGCACTGGTTTCACCATACTCCATTATTTAATGAATGGTTTATGTACTCAATTATTTAATGAATGTTTAGTAATTATTTCATTATTCCTGCATTTTATATTGGTTATATCATCGATTTTCTAATGTTTAACAATAAAACATAAATTATTGAATTTATTCTTTTGTTGTTGCTCTTAAAGTAGCACATTTTTATAATTAATATTTCAGGAAAAATATTAATTGTAGATCTGTCTATTACAAATAGTTTGTTGTTGTTTCCATAGTAGCATAACATTATAATTAATATTTCAAAAGAATTTTACTTGCTCTTTAAGAGCATGAATCATAATTTTAAATATTCCAAAAGAATATTGACATATTACTCTTGAATAAGCAATGGTAAAATATAACACGCTACTTTCGAAAATATATCATTTTGAATTAGTGTTTATCCCTAAGGAAAACATATGACTCATGTCATGTTGACATTGATTACTTGATTAATTATTATGTGATTATACAATATTTAATCATATTATTTAAATTAATTTTGATTCACCATTTATTATTAGGTATCTTGAATCTTTAACGGGTGATCTATTTACTGAATGGTTTGCAGATTATCATTTTTATGAAAAGACTTCTCAAACTTTGGGAGGGATAAACTACATCCTGAAAAATAAGGTAAAATTTCTTGGAATGAAACAACTATATCCCACTTTTATCTTCGCAACAATCAATATGAAAAAGATGTTGAAAAAATCATTCATTTACAAAGAATTGCAAACCAATTGCCTGATATATTTGTTAATACAAGAAAAAGTAACAAAGTTATATATACCGGCACAAAATATTCCAGCAAAAATTAATGTCTCTGGAAGATAATTTATTGTATCAAATGTATCTCAAATACGCCAAAAGTATGGTCGATCAGTTTGGTTTAAAAGACTGTTTACCTTGACAATGAAAAGTACAAGAAAAAACTCAACCAAAAACTTTGAAAGAAATAATATTAGAAAAAATTGATCAATCAAATATTAGAAATATGGTTCCCGAAGAACTATAAATGTACGAAAATAATGAGATTTCAATAAATTATATGTTATTTATAAATTATGAAAACGAGATAATATTGTTATAGACAATATTTTGGCTTTTAACGTGATTTTTGATATTATGCAAAATGAGGATCCTGAACCACAGTGAAAATCAGCATAGAAATAATTGACCAAAATGGAAATAAGCTATACAAGCATAATTGAATTCTTTAAAGAAACGAAAAGTATTTTGGAGTTGTAGTTTGAATACTTCAAAATGTAATCCCTCTAGATCTTGAAGTACTATATATTATTAGTGCTATTAGAGCATTAACCTGCCTTAAAAACTTCACTTGACCCGACATAACTTTTTCTGTAAATCTCCTTGCAAGATATAGCTCCCCACCAACACAAAGATATTGGAATGATGTTAAACGTATTTTTAGTTACCTAAAGG